AGAATAACAAATATTCTGAAGTTATAAACTTCCAATTCCAGAGAAAAGGAAACTTTAAAATTACAAATTTTTGGAGCTCTTAAAGCTTTAAAATTTCCATATCCAGAACTAAGAGGATTTTAAAATTACAAATTTTTGGAACTATTAATATGTTCTGAAGTTACCAATTCCAGAGCAAGGGGAATTTTTAAATTACAAATTTCTCGAGCCACGAAAGTTCTACAATTTTTGCGGCTCTGAGAATTTTGGTATTTCTAATTTCATATCTGTAGAAATGCTAGGATTGCCGATACCAAAAATAATAATGGAAACAAGGTAAATTTGTCATTGCACACGGAAGGAAAGATTTTATCGATTAGCTTTGCACTATCTCCTTGTGATATCTGCAAGGCACTCATGAGAACGCATTTTCAAGGAAGAAGATATAATCATAAGAGGCTACACTATTTTCCTTAGCGAATTTCCTCCGCATTCACCACGAAAGGAACTGCAGCCTGGCCTAGTTTCACGAGCCACCCTGTACATGTATACCTCGAACAATGTGAAAGGACTTCGTTTCAACTTTATTCTTCCACTACTGATACAATAGCTCTATATAGAATGCCGCACAATAGAAAATAGACATAATGGAAAATTCTTCGTTTTCAAAAAAAAAAAGGGGGGGGGGGTGGCAAAAATGGCAACAAACTGGTAATAGAGGTACAATTATCATTTGAGGTAAACTAAGAAAAGTCTTTGCCTTTTTATGAATAGATAGAACGCAAGATGATAGGACATAATGAAAAATTCTTCGCTTCCAACACGAGACACTGACGAAAATGGTAACCAGCTGGTAACAGAGGTATGATTATCATTTGTAATAAACTGTCGAGGAAAGTCTTGGCTCTTTATGGACAGACACAACGTAAGATAATAAACACAATGACCAATTCTTCGTTTCTGGAAAAAGAAAAGTGACAAAAATGGTAACGAGCTGATAAGAGAGGTACAATTATCATTTGAGGTAAACTAAGAAAAGTCTCGCGTCTTTATGAATAGACAGAACGTATTTACACTCTTCTTGGCTAACTTCTATCAGAGATAAATTTGCTAAAGGGAATTAGCTCTAGCACGTTGCTTCGTAAATGGAATTGGAAGGTGACTGGTCAGGGGGATCAAACTCGATTAAAAGGACTGTGCTGTATTCTGATGCTTGCCCTACAAAACTTGAGGACCCCGCTATAAAATACGTCCCTGGCTAAAGATATACCAATTGAAGGCCCGCTAACTGGAAACTTCAACTTTCCGAATCCATTATATCGGAAAGAAAATGACCTAATATCGTTTCGAACCATATCTTACCGCAATTAGATATATCTTATCTAAAATGTACGTAATACACGTACGTACATACATCATATCATTTTCGAAATATCGCGTTACCGGGAAAATTCAATGTTCAAACAGATAAATAAACTCCATATTTTAAAGCAATAATTTATTCCATAGAACGTATACCGTTTTATTCTACAACTTTTCGCCGTCTTTCTAGCAATTTGTAAATTCCATTTCGCCAAAAACTTCATTCTTTTCTTTTTTCTTCTCTAGCATCGAAACTTCCATTTCCAAATTGTGCAAACTGTGAACAATTCTTTCCGACAGACTATCATCCCCGTAAATATTACAAGGCTCACTTATGGTTTCTGCTAGGTGCAGAGGTTTATGACATGAGGGACGTGTCAGGGAGGCTATTTTTGAGATTCGGATGTTTAGTTCGTTATCGACATGTTTCAAGGGTTAAAGTATGTCCGGGCGAGAGAAAGATTAGAAGTAATTTCTCTCATCCTCGATAGCTAAACCGTGTCGTAAAATGGGCCTTCCGAAGGGTGACTCAGGATCTATTGTAACGGTCAAAGGATCGACGCGGTCACAGCCTGAAGGAAATTCCGCGCTGCTGCCAAACGATCGCCACCTACGTCAAATCACCGTCATCCCCTGCCCAAAACAACGCGCCAAGGGCGCAAAGAGAAGGTGGTCACGACCATTGAGACACGTTGATTGGTCGACTTAAAGGAACCAGACAGCGTGTGTATCATTCGAAGGAACTAGTCGCAATGTACATAAAAGGACTAGAATCAGCGAAAAAAGCGGAATAAGACAAAATCGACAAGTCAGTGCGCTCTACTGTCCGCGACATTCGACTCGTTAAGCATTATCAGTAAATCGCGACCAACTCGCGATATTCGATAACGAGATTGCGATTCACGGCAATCCGTGTGGTCCTCATTGTGTCGGCAGATACAGTGACTCCCATAAATATTCGGACACTATTCAGAACATAATTTTCTTTTAATTGGACCAAACGACCTGAGTTCTTATGAGAAGTTACAAGGATTAGTGTACTAGATGACGTGTAGAAAAATTTTGAAAATATTGCACTTGGTGAAGAAAATTGTAAAGGTCGCTGCTTACAACTTTTTTATCTGAGCTTGTAGTGAAAATTTAAAACATACGTTTTGTAGATTTATGTCGATTATACGCATGCTGAACAATTCATCGAAGTCGGTTGATGGAGAAACAAGCGACAGGCATCGAAAGATGTAAGAATCTTCAGATTTATTACGGTTATAGGCCGGAAGTAGTGAAATAGTGGGATTTTCACAATCTTTAACCGTTTGCAACGTTAACCGATTTCGATGAAATTTTCAGTACGTGTACAATTGACATAAATCTACAAAACGTATTTCTTAAATTTTCGTCATTTTTAAATTCAAAAAAAAAAAAAAAAAAAAAAAATACTCAAGTCTTAAAACGGAAGCTGCGTTAACAATTTCAATGGCATTTAAAGAGAGAAAGTTAAAAGAAAAGCATTAAACGTCGGAAATGTACTATTTTCTTTCATCGAGAAGAAACTGGTATTTCAAAAGACACGCGAAGGAATAATCTTTCGAAATATATGCGAACTTCGTGTTTCATCGAGCTTTATTTCTTACCTGTCGACAATCGAGTATATTTATCTTCAACAAGGAAAGAGAAAACAATTGATTGCTTCTCTGTAAGGATTTAAGGTTCAACGAGAAATGTACAGGGGTGTGCATCTTCGTGAAATCTGTATTCTGAATAATAATAAAGCAAGTCTGGCGCAAAACCTCCACTTTCAGAGACTGCAGCATCCAAACTCGAGTTCTGGGAACCTCACCATGCCAAAAAGCTGTATTTCTAGGTTAACGACCCACAAACAGCAACGTCGAATTACTGCATCCTTTATACTTCGCACTATGACCTTTACTTCCCGCTGCTCTTCGTTCGTACGAAGTTAAAAGAAGCCCGAACGGATTTTAATCGGAACGACATCGATGCCCAGGTGCTTATCTTGGTAAAATACGATTTTCTAGCAAAATGGTGGACAGCTTCTCGTAAGGAGGCTTAATTTAATTTTTGATTTAATTCCAATCTGAAACTAACCCAGATTTTCAAATCGAATTAACGATCATTTTCTGATGTCAAGTCCATGAGTTTATTAATTAGATCATGATGAGGAGGATGAAGAAAATTCACGCTTCGTGATATTCACGGGAAAAATATTTAAGCGAGTTTTTTTTTCTTCTACATTTTCCATCTGGAAAATTTCTCCGCCTTCGAAAGGTCTAATCTTCTTTTCTTCCCTCTAGGGAATTTTACAGCGGAATTTCTAATTATCACAATTTTTCTGAAATTCGTTCCTATCGAGGTTTTTCCGTTCGAAAACTCTAATTTCGATGCAGGCCTGGTAATATTAATCCAGGCCAAATGAAATTCGAGCGATCCGCCGTAATTACGCGTCTCGTAAATATTAACAAAGAACAAAGCGCGTTCGCGGATTTTCGTTTCCGCGGAAAACACAATGGATTCGTTTCCAGGAACACGAAAAAGCAGAAACTCGACTGGTAACGAGTTTCTGATGCGTTCCTGCTGTTCTCTGTTATTTTTTCTTTATCCCTTCTGTTGGTGCCTCGAAAAATATTACTCGCCTGTTTTGCCCGCTGAAATAATTTACATTCGGTGCGCACGGTGTTCGTACAATTCGGACGAAATGTTAGAAAATTTCGAAAACTCATTTTTTCGTTAACCTCTTAGAGAGATAAGAAAATTAAAAAAAAAAATGGAAAACGCCAGAATTCCCCGGAGAATAATCGCGGGAAAAAAAAACTCCGCGCCAATTACCCAGCTAATTACATTCGGTATTTTCAATTTTGATCGTAATTAAAAGTTAACGGGACACCGGAAAGAAAGTAGAAACACGACGAGTGTAACAACCGCTCGATGAATTTTTCATCCACGTTGAACGTAACACGCGAAAGACAACAATTAAAACGATTGAAATTTAAATCACCCCTTAACCACGCGAACCGATGCACGAAACAAAAAGATACAAGAAGTGCATGCACGTAAGCGTGCCCCGACTGCACTCCCATGAGCCTCCTAACAGACGAGCGGCAATCACGTCGCATTTAAACATCGATTTGTGTCAGCCTTTAAACCTTTAAAGGTCCGCAGATTTATCAGACTGTCAGTGGTGGACTGTGGCGACGCGAGCCGATCAATTCTCCCGGAGAAACAGAGAATCGCGTCCCACTGAACCTTTGTCATCGTCCTCATCACGTTCTTCGAGAGTTTCGCGTAACAACATACACGTATACCACGCGTGCACACACGTACCACACATACAGACGCTCCGCACATAAAAACATCCTTTCCATTCACCTGTGCCCCGCGAAGATATGTACGCACAGGTACTACACGCAGCATACGGCGCGATGCACGTAAATAGGTTACGCCTTTGTTCGCGCGTATCACATAGAGCAGCGTCTCCATGGTGGCAAGCTTGGATGTCGCGCGACAGGACACAATAAACTACTGGAAACGTACGAACCACGGTCTGACAGGGCGAGAATCCGAAAGAAAATCGATGCAGCGACAGGAACGCATGGAACACGGCTAACCACGCGACTGTATCGTGCCGGATTGTCGGAGAAACTCACCTAACCTTGCAGCAGGACCGTTTCTTCGCTCGACGTTATCCGCGTAACCCCTTGTCGAAGGAAAGTTCCATGTACCGGTTTCGGCGTCGATTGATCTCGATCCGCGCTCCACGGGATAGCCCTTCGTGTGCGCCTTCACAGGGGAGGCATCGAGATGGGGAAACGTTCATGGATAACGGTATATCCCAGCCATATCGAGAAAATCCACGAAAAACAGCCAAGACTGATTTGCCGCCCGCAGGCGCGCGCGCGCGCTGTCCAACTACGATGCTCAGTGCCACACGGAATCGCCGTCCCGGCAACGCGTACCTTGTCGCGTACGCATCTGGTCCGTCACGGAATGATCTCACGGAATCGAAAGCGTCCGTACCCGCTTTTGCCTCTCCCGCGCCACTACATTACGCTCTGCACGCCGAGATAAGCGACACTACACAACTACGAGATGCACTCGCGACTCTCGGTCGCCGACTAAACGTGTTGCTCTCAAGGCTAGGGACATCTAATGGCAGGGGAAGGAACTAGATACGCCGCCGGTGATGTTTAATTGAACCAGCGATCGGTGAATGAGGACTGTGAACAGAGTACGTGCGTATGCGTAGAATTTTCGTTGTTTTGCTGCATTGAAGATGTTTAACGATTTTTTGCTCGATGTGAGGTTATTGGGATGCAAATTTACAGTGATTGATTCGTACTCTCTGTAGACTGCGCGGTACATACTCCGTTCAATGTAAATTGAAAGAAAGGCCTCTTTATTCGGTGAAATACATCGTTCAATGTACAGCATTTTATATGTATACTATTTGATATGAATTTTTAATAAATTATTTCAACAGTAAAAAAGTTTTATGTTTTTCTGTATTGTACAACATCTTAATTGTCTAAACTTGAATGATACACATATACTACTTTTTAATACTTTAATGTTAATTATTAAGGATAAACGAGATTTACGTGAAAATTTCTCACGTAGGAACATCATGTTTTTATGAAATACATACATAAAAATGGTATTACCGAATTTTTCACGGTTCACCATTACAAAAAACTGTAATCGATTCGCCGAAATTATTTTGACGTCACATTGTCAGTGTACTTAGGCCAATCTGGCGATATAACAATCGACTAATAAAGAGACGGTCTTGAGCCATTAATATTATACGTATATACACAGGCGCCTACGTAAAAGACATATCACGTAATGATACATTTTGGTAAGCGGGTATTTTTGTTCAATCGTTTTGCCAACGATTTTGGAAATGTTTCGATCCGAATGCGCTGTTAGAAAGTAAAGTTAGGTTAGTTCTAGCACAGACAAGGTACAGAATAGATTTATCACCCAATACATTTTTTTATCCACATCATGGGGGCTCTAGAGCCCCCTTACCATTTTCATGTCGCTTCCAACGTTACCGATTCAACACAGAATAAGATTACAGCGTTAGTAGTGGTTGAAATTAGAACTAAATGTAACTATAAAATTACAAATAAGGAATGGAACAAAATATCTCAATTGCACACGAAGTATAGAATTCTATACTTGTACATGTATAATACATACATTAGATTGATCGGAAAGTTTTATCGTTTTATTTTCAAACAAAGTAAACTAACTTTCGAAGAAAGTTTTACCAATTAATCTGCGGTATAATATTTATTTCTAGTTATTCTTTCCTAAGTATCCAGTAATTTATTTGTTCCCTTTATGTAAAATTTCTCATTCTTGCGATTAAAATACTCTGGCAATATGTTTGCAAGTTCGTTGCATTGTATTTTTATAATCCATATTTTGACAATTAGAATGGGTATATGTGTATTTGAGTTTCCTGTCATTTATCGAAATTTTTGAACGGAATTGTAAATATGCAAGAGAAAACTGATGACAAAACTTTTCGATCAACCTGATACTTGGTCATCCTTACAAATTACTTTCACACGGGTAAACAAACAGTTGATCGGGACGATAATTTTGAGTAGAAACTATTATATTGTTAATTTTTTCCAATTTTGACATGTCTTAACCGCATAAAAAAATTATCATCTCTTACTCAGAAGAGATTGAGCTTCATAAATAATTACTTTTTATTACAAAAGGATGTTTTTACTACATACTCGAAAATTACACATACATACATACTGTACATATACTAATTATTACTATACTAAACTGCTTGTTAAAATGCATTAATATTAGTGCGATTTATGTTGTGTCGTACAGATCAGTATTTGATTTTTTTTAACTATGACGCATCTTACCAAAAAATCGAAAAAAATTGGACTGTAACAGTTATGTTAAGGTGCTGCTACTAAAAACATATAAAAAAGCTATGTTAATATTTCAAGAGAGATCCGCATGTTTTTGTGTTTCTCATTTTTTACAACTAGGATTTGCAACGAAAAAATCGGAAAAAATTCTCTAATATATGCCTTCATGTACGCAATGTACCAGATTTTTTTCAAAATTTTTGCGTACACCTAAATAGGGAAAATAGTCCAAAAACCGATGAACATAACTCACCCTGTAAGTGCCCCCTAGGTCGAGCTAGGGGGTTTAAAGTTGGTGTCAAATGTTTTCTTTCGGTAAGCTATCGAATGGTATATTCCTCGACCTAATTGGTTCAAGGGTACTTTTGACCATCTTATCCTGCTAAACCCTTTAGTTATGTGTGCGTTCAATTCGCTTTTCTTTTATCATTATATTCAACAAAGAAGGTGATCATATTATACCGAATGCGAGCGAGACAGGGTAAAAGTAAGCAATATTTGGTACTCGCATAATAACTCAGTACCAAATGTTTATAGTTTTCATTAGATCTTCATGAATTCAATATTTTGCGGATTATATAATATAAACAATAAATTTTACAATGGTATTATGAAAATATAAACAGTTTTAATAAGATCACATTTAGATTCATTTTCATCAACAAAATCTCATGAATTGATAATATTCTCGTACATTGTAATGAAAAATATGAGAACGTAATTTTTTATTAATGGATAATTCATCCTATGCGCGTGTTTTACAACTGTTGAAAGAGCATAAATATGTATATATGTATATAAATATGTATATGTTGGATTGCAGGGGTAAAACTGTTGACGCTCTCTACATATATTTATTTAACTTATGTATCTTTACATGCGGATTTAACAAAAGATCTTTTAGATCTGTTGACTTTACCATCTTTGATGGTTGGATTGTATATAATTCCTAAACTCACCGCTCTGTATAGAAGAGGGCATAACAAAACCTCTGATTTTTTACACGATCGGTATTTCAGATCGTGAGACACAAAGTTCCTTAAGGTGATAGGTCTATTTTGTACCTCGTCTGTGGTTCTAGCGACAGTATTTGACGTGTCAGTGCAATTGCAAATGGCGGGCGCCAATGGTGATATTTCCTCTGTAGGGAGGAAGATCGAGAAATTGGTGATATCCGCGGAGGAATCGGTAAAAAATGAGAATGATGCAGAAAACGGAGAGAGGCTGGAGCCTCGTCTATGGGGTTTCGAGACTAAAGATCTGTACAAAATTGCGATGAATTTCTACAAAGGTGAGTCGATTATATTGACAGTTTACCAGAATAGTCTCGCTATTCAATTTTCTGCGTTGTGTCAGAAAGATGACGTGTCCGTGTGGATATGCGTTAATGTATTGTTGTGCTATATATTTGCAATACGTTAGAAGGCTGAAGTATAGACTTTCATGAGAACTTCACTAGTAATTAATGTGTGTTGATTTTGTATACTTGTGTCCACTTTGTATGAGTTCCATAGTGTCTAGATAAGATTACTTTATTTTAATATTAATGTGATGTTATATGTGAATTGTTTAATTATTGTAGAGAAGGAGGGTAAAGCAGTTCATTTGTCTTATGAAGACAAACTGAAGTTGGTGGCTCTTACCCAGCAAGTAACACATGGTAAATGTACACCAGAGAATGCACCACCTTTGGGTGTGTTAGATGTTATTGGAAGGGACAGGCGTTTAGCATGGCAAAATTTGGGAAGCATATCCAAGGAGCAGGCAATGGAAGGATTTATACTTTTATTAGATAAACTATGTCCCTTGTTCAGAACAGTTGTAGAAGCACAAAGAAGAGATGTTGAAGAGAAGTTGAGGTTAAAGAAAGAAGAGGAAGCAAGGAAATTGGAGGAAGAAAGGAAGTTAAAAGAGCTAGATGAACAGAAACAAAAGGAAGCAGAAGCTAGATTAAAGGAAGAGATGCAGAGGAGACAAATTCAAGATGCTTTAAATCAACAAACATATTATCAATTTAAAATGTATGCGGAGCAACAGTATCCTGGGAATCCAGAGCAACAAGGTGTTCTGATAAGGCAACTACAAGAGCAACATTATCATCAATATATGCAACAGTTGAGACAAAATCAGTTAGTCATAGATGAACAAACCACAGAAATGAACAATACCACAACAGAAAATGTTGAAATAGAAGAGCACAAAGAGACAAATGAAACAGCTGCATTAAATGAAGAGGATTCTGATGAACCACAGGATGATTGTCCACCCATAGCTCGTGCAGAGATGTGGACTAGGAAAGATGTGGAAGAATTCAAGGAAACAATCAGGAGGGAAGATGGTGATGCAGTTATTAAAGTTGGACATGGGGAAACAGTGACTGTTAGAGTGCCAACACATGAAGATGGCTCTTGTCTGTTTTGGGAATTTGCAACAGATGGTTATGACATTGGTTTTGGAGTATATTTTGAATGGTCAAAACCAGAAACAAATCAAGTGTCAGTACATATTAGTGAGTCTGAGGATGAGGATGAAGAGGATGATGATTATGAAACGAGAGAGGATTTGGAAAGTGGAGTAACAAATGCTCCAATTCAGTCTGATTACAAACCATTGCCACCACATATAAGCGTGATAGTACCTGTAGGTATACCACTGTAGTTAACTAAAACAGCAGAACGAATTTTATGTTGTTGTTTTTACAGATATACAGGAGGGATTCACAAGAAGAAATCTATGCAGGAAGTCATAGATACCCAGGACAGGTAAATAAATGAATACTTACAACAATCTAGTGTTTACAAATGTTTATACATGTATAGCAGAGGTATAATGATATTTTGGTATATTTATTCATTACAGGGAGTGTATCTTCTTAAGTTCGACAATTCGTATTCACTCTGGCGAAGTAAAACGCTTTATTACCGAGTCTATTACACACAAAATGGTTACGTGAAAAATTAACTTTATAAAAAACAAAGCTACTGCCATTCACTGACCGTACAATCGTTGTGAACTAGCCCGACACAATGGTCTGCCGATATTGCTAGTCCAACTAAACGAAGAGTCCTATATCTTATTTCTGTTCATATAAAAATGCCAAGTGTTTGCAAGAAAAAAAATATATATACTTATTATAGTTACGTAAAGACACTTTATTGTTTAATATGGCAAGCGAAAAATGGGCACAAGTAAAAGAAAAAATGTTCCTATCGTTCCCCTTCCCATGAATGTTTATAAGAACGAAGCAAACGAAAAAAAAAAAAATGTGTATAAATGTCGGTAATCAACAGTACACGCTCTGCATCAGAAAGGAAATTTCTTTAAAATCCGATATATTAGTGTTGTAATCAATCATATATTATGCCAGTAATGTATCGGTGAATCTATGTATAATAATTGTTTTTCTTGTGGTAAAGATTTTTTTAGTCCATCTTTGTTATTATCTCACTCATGTCTGTATCTTATACTTTTATTAATACTGTCCAACGTTTTAGAAAAATACATTAAAATCAAAATATTCCAGTGTTTAATTTTTCTTTAATTTTATATGCGTTGAAAAGAGTAATTAAAAATCGTAAATACTTCAAGGAAACGCGTTCCTTTTTCGTGTCAACGTTTATTGTACTATAATCATATCGTTTGTTTTTGTTTTTTTTTTTTTCTCTTTACAGGAATGATTTGTATATCGTCGTTAATAATAGTCATAATAATAGTTATATACGCAGCAGTATACAATTACAGGCTTTTTACGCGAACGAATATGCGTGTACGTATCGCATATAAACGCATTCCCAAATGATCGCGTAATAATAGACAATTCGCCGTATAATAACATTTTTTTTTTTATTTAGAAGAGCACTTTTCTGAGACGGCATGGGTTTTTTTGTTCTTTAACATTGCACGGCAACGAGGATTCCGTTACATGTCGAAACTTGAATTAAATTCGCGTGAATAATTTGCATAAACATTAAGCAATAATCAGCGAAATCCTTCTTGACGTGCAATTCTTTTTTCGCGATAGCCAAATTTTCGTATTGTTCTTTTTCAATCGAAACGCTTCGTGCGACCGTAGATTCGTAATAAAGTGAAATTCGAATAGGGTTTGTGGACAAACACCATTCGATTGTTCGAATTAATTGATCAATTTTACTCACGCATTTCACGTCTAAATCGTCGATTATTCCTTAAAGCCTAAATTTGCCTCTACGAAACTATGGATCGATGAATATTTCGAACATTGAAGGCTCGAGTGGTTCGTTGGAAGAGACACTTTCAAATTTTAACGTTCGACTCCAAGCTAGTCAATATGTATCCTATTTAATAAAACCATTTATCTTTATAATCACTATGACGCGATCTTCTTCACGATTAATTAATTAACCTATTTATATTTCAATTTTCTCATATCAAACTCCAATGAAATACACATATTATTTTAAACATTTTAAATTTAGTTTCTGCACTACTCATGTTGTCACATCCATCGCTATGGAAAGTGCCTCTTTGCACTTTGTTTGGTTAGACGTGCCTATCGAACGTCCTATAGTACGCGGAATAGAAAACTGCCATTCGTGTCACATGTAAACTTAAAACGTAATCACGCGCGTTATCCTGAGATGCCTTAACACTTATATATCGTGAGAATCGAGTTCTGTTATCACATGCTTCGTCGCTCGTCGTTCAACAAGTTGTAAACATCTACGCTATATGGCGGCTCAGCTATTTTCTCGTTCGTTTGAATGTCGCGCCAAAGTCGCGGTAGCGTTGCGTGTCGTACTTGCCATTTAAAGACGCGGTTCGAAATGTGATTATACTGTACAGGGTGTAAAAAAATTAATGGTCACGGCTTCAGGGGGTGAATCTACACTCTTGGATCGGTGGACATTTGTAAAAAAAAGTTTCCGCAAAATTGTTTATACCATTGAAAATTAATGTAAAATTTTTGTTTTACATCAACGTATTATGCTTGACGAGAAGAGAAAAAGTCTGAAAGGGGCCATATACCGCAAACAAATAGCTTCCGAGATAAACGTTGATAAAGTTTGACAACGATTTGATTGCGTAGAGCTATACGTATAGGACCTACTAACCTACTGACACTCTGCCATTTGGTAAGATCTAGCCGTGTAGGACACGCTCGGTATAATGGTGTGCGTGCCCCTACACAAACGCCGTTTAAAGGAACAGCAAGGTCTAAACTCGAAGGCGGGCCCGAACCAAACGGGTGTTGAGTAGGGGCACGCACACCATTATACCGAGCGTGTCCTAACGGTTAGATCCCACCAAATAGCAGAAGTTAGTAGACCCTAGTCTATACGTATAGCTCTACACAATCAAATCATTGCCAATCTTTATTAACGTTTATCTCGGAAACTATTTGTTTGCGGCATATGGCTCCTTTCAGACATTTTGTCTTCTCGTCGAGCAGAATACGTCGATGTAAAAAAAAAAATTTAACATTAATTTTCAATGTTCAATTCACCCCCTGAAGCCGTGATCATTAATTTTTTTATACCCTGTACGTCGAGTGAAGTTTAGTGTCGAAAATTCAAGGAATACCATGACTGTTTATTAGTTTTTGTGGTTTTACGGAAGATCTTGCTACCTAGACGAAAATCGAGCGGCTCTGGAGGGAATTTTGGCATTTTCAGCGCAAATAACAGCCAGAATTGGTGAGTACGATTTCAGTAGCTAGCTATGGTTTGAATTTTACGACACATGTAATAAATTTCAACCCATTCGAATAAAATTAGTTAAAAATTCGTAAGATAAACATGAAATTGATCAATATAGTAGATAGAGAATATTTATAATAAATATATATGTGTATAGAATTAAGAGTATGAACGTGTACTTATTCTCTTTTTTAAGAGGAATCAAATTTTGAATAAAACAATAATTACTTGTTTTTTATTTTGTCAATAAATGAATTGAAATTGAATGGGTTGACAAAATTCTAACTTGATTAATAATATTTTTCGTCGAGGGTAGATAATTATGTGAAATTACACGTACACACATATGCAGATATTACAGTTTCCAGAATCTCGATGAATTTACTATAAATACGAATGATCGTGGTATAATTAAGATCGTTAATATTTTAAATACTAGATTAATATTAAATGAAATTTTTACATAACCAATGTAAAAAGAAGAATAAAATGAAATATTTGAATACTTTTCAAGGTTATATAGTTTCAATTTTTTAAACCCTTTGAATTATAAAACAGGGATACCATCCTATTGTTTATTTTTTCATTTTATAAGAAATATCTTAATTATACCAAGATTATAATTTTTCTTCTTCTTTTAATGCAACAACTTCTATTAATGATTATCACGATCAGCAATTGGCATTGATACACATTATTCGAGTATATGAAAAATATCTTCCTAAAAGCATTAACGGTGCGTCTTTTTTTGTTTTCTCGCGGTAATATTACAATAGTATATGCATGTATATAATCGTCTAATAAATACAAAGTCCTCGGTCAAAATTGTCGAGAGACCGGTAAAAATGATCGGAATTTTTACGAATAGCCTCTTTCTTCTCTGTTGCAGCGAGCAAACATGTAGACAAAAATATATGTATATGTATATATATAACGTGTGTACTTTTTTTTGTTCATATTACTATATGCACGGAGAAGCGAAGACTTTCAATCGTTTTTCTTTTCCTACTTTTTTTCGGCACGGATTTCCATTTCGATTAAGTTTTCCTCGTTTTGCTTAATAATACGCATTTCTTCTTGCACGTAAAATCTATGTTTATTCCTGGCTTACTTGTTTGAGCGAACGATCCCTATAAACATCGTGTTCGTACATACAAATTGACGCCGCGGCGTAGGTTCGATGCTTCGTGCGTTCCAAGTGTGTGTGAAAAAAACCCTCGAGCGATGGAGTGGGATGGAAACAACCCTTTTTTTTTCTTCGTGCGTGCATGTTCAGTTGGAATAGTGATCATATTTCAAAACATTGCAACTGCTACGAGTTATAGCTTGTTTAAGGCGAGTTATTTCAACTCGATAAATTCTATTTATCGTTTGCTAATAATTTATGGTTTTTCCATTTCTTAAATCATTAAAATTTCCTTAATTGTTTTTAATCCATTAACGTCTAGTGTATTCTTTTAATGACACTATCATTTTAACTTTTTGTAGTACTTGTAAATAATGCAGTACAAGACAGTGTTGCTTTCTCGGAAAGTAATTGTGTTCATTGTTAGCTTTAGGTTCGTTTGTTGATCACGTTGTCGAACATCAAATATAAAAACAAATTTGCCAAAAAAAAAAGTCGTGTATGATATTTCGTAGAAAAAAATTTAAGTTATTGAGAGACCCAAAAATTATTCGATATAATTTTTCTAATAATAAAATCTTCACCAAATAATTCGTCAATATTTCAATATTCGTTTAAAAAATATTCACAGGTGAAAATTTTTGTGAATACTATATGTAACAAGGATTGATTAACCCCACCTCATCGATCAAGATCAGAGACACTTTATCATGAAGAATTGTGGAACAGTTTGGTCTATAGATGATTAGCACAAACATGCTACTATACTTCACGTATATTGAATAGGTAAAAACGCCTTTATCCAATTTATCGTTGATCCACGCCTGTCATCTAAACTCCTCCAAATCTCCCTTCTTTACCAACTGCAGCTTAAACTGTGCGCATAATTGACGCCAATTTGCGTTTTCGCGACTTTAACGAGGCATATTGCGCAAAAATATGAGAATCACTCCTAAAAATCCACTGTGTATTCCCTATTGGCAACATAGACAGCGTTTCACGCCCTCTGTCATCCCCTCCGTCCAAAAATTCAACCTCCTTTTAAATAATTGAAAGGCGGGGCCGGGTAAATCGCATTTACGCTGTATGTACAGGATCTTGAAAAGTGGCAGGACGGATATTTACAGTTTGGCTTCGCATGTCCCTTCGTTATAACGACGTCTCCATGTTCAGATTCGCCCATTTGTTATTCTCCATTCTGTAATCCTCCACTCTTCCAGTGAAACTTCGACGGAAGTTCACATTTTGTCTGACTGGTCTCGTTCGTCTTTCTGTTAACGAACGAGTCAATTCACCTTTAGTCGGTAATCTAGAAACATTTTCTGGAGAGATTCTATCGACTGCAGTCGCTTGATCAGCGAATTTTTCATTACGATTCGAGGTCGATCCTTCATAAGGTGGAAAAGAGGTTGCATGTTGGTAAACTCGAGCTGATGATTGGTTCTTGCTGAAATCTATATTGTCTACGGCGTCTGTGGAAGCTGAGAAGGCATATGGATAAGGATGTTGACGATCTGGTGGACAAGAGAAAGAGGAAGGATGAGAAGTGTCTGAATAACGTTGTCTGCGCGAGTCTTGGAAGCGACGTCTCGAGGACATCCGGTCACAGGCTAAGGAACGTCCTAGTTGAGTGAGGACTGTGTGGTTTGGTGATTCTTCTGTAGGAGTGGAATCGACCTCTTGTCTGGTACGGACCACGTCTTTTCCTCCGAAGGGGTCGCCTGGACAGACTTCTTGTATGGGACTGGCGAAGATGAGAGTTCTGTGTGGAAAAATGCACATATTTTTTCCAGACGTTTTTTCAGTGGTTCTTTCTAGATCATCCTATACAGGGTTTCCGGTGAATAAATAAGTAAAAAAAGGAAGATGAAGTTTTTTTGACTGTGTGCCTAGTTTTTGAGGAAAATAACTTTAAACATCAAATTTAGGTTTAACTCCTTAACGCTCATGCCTGTGTCTTACACGTGCATAACTAACCCTCCAAAAAGTGCAATTTTGTTTAATTTTTCTTTTTTCACTGTTCATATTGCGCTATCCTTTCTATTCTATTGCAAAAATGTAAATCATAGCATTATAAATAAATGGAAAACTTATTTCTATACGTCTAGGAAATAATTAAAAAAGAATAAAATTGATCATTTTTGGCACATCAAGTTGAGAAAAATGTGAGCGTTAAGGGGTTAAGTTAAATAAGTCCAGTGCAATGTTTAACTGGTAATTTTGGTAATTTATTTTACTTTCAGTAATAAATAGTATATAATTTGTAAAAATCATCAAAAAGTTTACTGTTTTCACTACAATATTAGCATTAAATACTAACATTATGTAGCAAAATTTAAACTAATAATTTGATCACATACAACATGCGTCTTATACACCCTAATCAATGGGTGGTACTTTTATATTGAAAATTATTTTTTTAGAAAATTAGACAAGCAATCAAAAAATTTTACCCCACACTTTTTCTCATTTTGGCAAAAGCTGACAAAAACTTACACAGCACGGATCATTTTTCTTTCGACATACATATATTGTAGAGGGTACATTTCTAAGTAACATACACTTCGAATTTTGCGGCGGTCTCTTTTAAGGAAACTAAACAGTAATTCTGAAGTGTATGATCTATAGAAACTCTTTTGCGAATAATAAAGCAATAGATCAAACCAGGAACAACTATAATATCAGATTGTTGGAAATCATATGAATATTTAAAAAATGAGGGGTACAGATATTTAATAGTGAACCATAGATATAATTTCATCAACCCAGAAATTATCGCTCATACACAAAATATTGAACGTACATGGCTAGATACACGGGGTTTGCACCCCGGTGGTATTGCTACCACGATATGACACAGGTAAAAAACATTATGCGGGGTATTTAGCAGAATTTTCGAATTATGAACGTATTGAACAATTTTTTCAGAAACGTATCCTCTTAATAATGATATGTAAAATAAAAATATATTATTTTCAAAAATTATACACATTTTTGTAACTTAACGTTACAATTGAACGCGACCCAAACCCAAACCCTAACCCTAATCTAATTCTAATTTTAAATGGAAGTTGGGTTTGGGTTAGGTTAGGTTAGATTAGATTAGAATTTCTTCGGGGTGGGGGTGCAGGGGGAGGCGCCGACGCTTTTACTTTATAGCAAAAAATCTTGAATGTATATGTCAAGGTTAAAGTCATAAAGACTAAATTTCTTTTTTTAAGAATGTTATTTTTATAATATTTGAAAAGCGCATATCTCAAGAACCAAAAGAGACCACCGGAAAATTCAAAGCATGTGTTACTTAGAAATGTACACTTTACAATATATGTCTAAAGAAAAATGTTCCGTGCTGTATTTTTTTACCAATTTTTATCCTTATTTGTTTTTTGTTTTTTTTTTTTATAAGGAATCACTTCCTTGTCTGTTGTACAACGATTTACAAGACACCCTGTATAGCTCGATTTAATTGTTTGTAGTTTGAGATGGTTCGACTTTTGTGTTTGAACGTGTCAAAGAATTTCTTTAATTCTGTTAAATATTGCTGAACCATTTAGTAATTTAGTTTTTTCATTTCGTAAATATAAGAAAAATAGAAAAATACTCACCTGGTATTCTCACGTTTCAATGCTCCATCTTCACCCTTCTCCGTGGAAATATTCTCCAAGAATTGTCTCTTCCTCTTTCCCAAAACCCCATCCAAACTCTCCCTGGATCTCGAAAATAGATTGAACTTTCCTCCATCGTTGCTCGAAGAAGCACAAACTGGAGTGCATCCTTCGTGATAAGACGCTCGATTCTCCAAACGCCTGTCTACTTCATCGTCCTCCCTATCAGAGAAATTCTGAAGCTCCCTCGCGGTAATCAACGTGTACCTTCTCTTATTCTGCTTGAGAATCGACTTCAAACAGAAATAAGTCTTCGAATCTGGCAACGTGCCACTCTCGTTCGACATAGGATTCGCTATCACTCTGCTTCTGCTGTTTATCCTCTTAGGTATTGCACCTCTGCTTGCATCTACAGTTGCTCTGGAACTAGTTTCGTCGAGTGAACAAAGGGAGAATCTGAACTTATTTCCCCTGGTTGAATCATTTACTTTAGCCTGTCTCATCTCTTGCATTCTATTCTCGATATTAAACTCCTCTTCCTGGTCACTCTCCAGAATATTCCTCAAACTTTGTCCATTCAATTTCAAGAACTTAGTATCAGCTTCTATCAGTTCTGTCCTCGATCTGAGATTCGGTTCAGACATGTCTCGAGGCATCAAATTAGCCGTCATCCCTTTTCTCATACTGTGAATTCTCTGTGTCGAACTTGTACCGGGATTTTCGATATTCAACTCGCTTCTGGATATCTCTGAACTCTCTAACTGAGCTTCCACCAAGAATTTCCCACAACTTCCACATTTTCCATTCTCTGTTTCGCTGATTAACGTGCAACTTGATGGATGAACTTCGACGGAGGTTTCTATCAGTGGTTGCCTTACCTGTTCGTTGGATTGTCCGCTGTTTTCTTCTTGTCCGGTTCCTTCTTCTAATACATTCATCTCGAAGGTGGAGGCATTGGCGTGACAGGGACAGGAACATTCGCGTAATGCTAGTCGACGGTTTCCATCCTCGTTTACTTCCTCATTGATGATGCAGCCTTGCTCTGCACGCTGATAGAGCAAAGCTTCTGAGTAACTCGGCACCATTTCGGTTATGCTTGTTACTTGAGACTCTGCTGGACGTTGGTCAGGTGCTGGATCCATCAGAAGTGCCTCGCTGTAGCTAGGAGCTAGCATGTAGGAGCCTGGTTGATTGATGGTCTGCTGGCTCATGGACGCGTGGATTGGTTCGCTTCCACTTGGTGTGTCGTAGTTTATTCCGAATAATTTGGTGATCTGATAAATTGTTAATTGAGATGTATGTTAATCAAGGTGGTATTAGAATATGTGGTAAATGAATGGTTTGCTAACACAATGAAGTTATTTATTCAATACTCTTACACAGTTTTGTAGAAACTGTGTCCCGATTATTGTCCCGATGTTCAGTACAAAAAATGACGTTTTTGGACGTTTATGTCCAAAGTGCAAAAGTCCGAAAAATTTAAAGTTCACAATTGTACAGTTCAATGAATTTCTCCTAAGCCCGAATGATTTCTGTCTCTGAAGGTGTAACGCTTTCAAATCGAAAAACGTTCCTTTCATCGTTCTAAAAATCTTTCCTTCAAGTCGCACCTTGGAGGGAAATGCAGAAAAGTGGGACCTAGAATTGCCCTATTACAAACAGAGGCGGTTTTTCGATTATGCAATATTTCATCCAGTAAACAAGACCTGCAGGAAGTCACAAAAAAGTTCCTTATTCGGGGAAGCGATCCATAAATCCTAGGTCCCTATTTTCATTGTATGTGGGCTTACGATAAGTGAATTGCTGATTGAGGGCGATCTGGCTGGGCAATATTTCGAGAGAAAGTTGGTGTCGTCTTCCAGCCAGATTCAAGTCCTTTAGAAAATATACAATCTTTGGTAAACAAATTGACTTTCTCAGAAATAACTACGTGGCCCTAACAGTGTTGAAACAGAAGTTTAGTAGATATTCTAATCTAAGTTGGTCTGATGAATTGTTCTGATAGTTTTTAATGTTAATTCTAACGTTAGTTTGGTGAATTTTCATGGTACATTTTGAGAATGTAGAATTCTTATTTTCTTTTTGGATTGTTTCAAATCCTCGAACCACTGAAATCTCATTGATGGATCTGACAAGGGGAATTGTGAGAGATAAGGGGAATTAAAGATTGTTGCGGTGAGATAAATTGAGCCTCTTCGATTTGATGTGTTCTTTTTGAAAATTTTACGTTGGGTTTGTCAGACCCTGTTAGACTAATCCAGGATTAAGGAAGTGAAGAATTATGGGAAAATATGAGTAGAAGTTTGTTGTTATTTGTCACAGTATCTTTTCTTCGATCTTATAATTATAATAAGGAGGAAGAACTGAATTATTATAGGGTGAATGTAGAAAGGTGTTGACTCGTTTTACCTGATAGTCAGCATATTGCGTTTTGTACTCTATGATCACTCTCAAAGGCCAGCTGAGCAACAGAGCACTGAGGCACCAGTAGACGTAGCGATTAGTGAACCAAGGGTTGCCAAGGACAGCCACCAAAGTCGTAGGATTTGGATTGTATCCCAAATCCAGACCTTCTCGCATTTCCATATAATCGTCTCTTAGCTCCTTGAAATTTTAATATCTCAATTAACCGAATAATCTTGACTAATTAAAAAAATTCAGTATTTAGCGATCTGTCAAATTTTATTGGCAAGTTAATTGAAAAATTTCCAAATATTTCAATTAATCAAATAATCTTGACCAATTAGAGAATTCATTATTCGGTGAATTATTCAATTTTATTGGCAAGCATGATTAATTGAAAGATTTCAGAAATCTTAATTTGAAATGTATTTCTAATTTGACGTACTTGCTCCGCGAAGAATCTTGATCTGGCTTCTTCAAACTCTGTCGCTGATCTCATATTCGAGAAGGCGAACCCTTTGCTTAGATTAATCTTCGTAATTGGTACCTTTGGATCCATTATCAGCTCCTTGCTGATGTCCTTCACGCCGCAGTAGTCGTAATAGTAAAAGGACGTAGCAGCGTGTGTGTTTATCCTCTCATAGTAGACCTGGAAGGTGGTGTTTTGTTAAATAGAAGAATAAATCGAGGAAAGATGGGCCATATTGAATGGAACAGATAGGGGTACACTATACTATTGTACGATAAAATTAAGCAGGATTCAGAAGGAATTAGGAAAAATACCAATAGAGATATGAAATTTTAGTAATTTCTTACAAATTTCGACAGATCTAGCCTTCCGCAACCCTAGGAAGCCCAAGATAGGGTGAAAATTTGTAGCTTTAGCTTTTCTCATAAAATAATTTGTTTAAATAACGTGTTCTCGTGTCAGAAAAAATAATTGTATTTTCATTTTTAATTATTTTTCTTGAATTAAAAATTTGAAATTAAACCTCCCAACAGTCTAGGTTTCCTAGGATTAAAAATTCAGTTTGATCGAAAGCATTCTCTAGCCTCTAGCATGAATAGAAGAGTGGGGGTAGCTAATATATCAGTGGTGGGGGGACGACCTTGAGCTGCTACTAACTCATCCCTCGCTATAATTACCAGGAACAACTCTTCACCTTAATATCAGACATCTCAAATTTATTAATGTAGGAAGCAGGCGTAATAGAAAAGTCGCGAATACGGTCAATCGAACATTCTCGTTGCTTCAACGCCCGATAGGCACGTGCGAGCGAGTGTGTGTGTGTGCGTGAGCGTCGGTCGCGAGAATGCTTTGACGTACCACGACCGGGCAGGCAAAAGCGTTGACAAACACACAGAATTTAAAGGAAACGTCGAGAACGTTCGGGCGACGCGCCGTTAAAAGGACGTGCCCGCGGCGCGCGCGGGCAGAATAGCAGTGATTACGATACGATACGATACGACGTGTGTGTGTTACTGTCTCGTTTTATCCGTCTCGTCATCTCCGTGATTAACGGATCTAACATTCTATTCCTACTGTCGGCAAAATTTAGGGTTTGGGGCGGCCCCCGTGGATGTGACCGTGGGTAAGACGTGCCATAAATCTGGTCACCAGAAGGAAAGGACAGAAAGCGACGTTCCCGGGCGAAACGGGTTTTCCGCCAAAATCGCGGTAGAAAGGGAACGTCGTAGGGGTACGTCCGAAAACAGCCCTAATTGGCGGAGAGAAGAAACGCCCTCGTCAAGGGACAGTTTAAAAACGAATAGCGTGTGGAAAAAGGTGTGTGTGGAAAACGAACTTGGAGTGAGAAAAGTACATTGAAGGAGCGTGGCTGAGAATAGGACTCGTGTCCGTGTAGAATAAATTATTAGTTATTTATTAGAATTAAACTGTCTCGTCTCTCGCCTTTATCAGCTGATTCCGCCAAACCTCTCTCCATCCCGGACTCGACCCTACACTACATTAGTTTTAAAGAAAAAAAAAGAAAACGCATTTGTAAGTCTGAATGCTACTAATAATATTAAATATTTCAGTTATCTGTAACATTTGTAGTATCAAGGTGACAAATTGATTTCAAACTATCGAATCTGAAATTAATCATCCTTGAATATTTCACGTAGAATAATTCACAGAATTAATTTCATACTTACTGATCCCTATATTTCACAAAGAAAAATTCTAGAAAAAAAAAATTTAACAGTGATGCAAGAATCTGATAGAGATAGAAACGAAGAAATGGTCCATCTGTCCTCGTACAAGGCTCAGTGAGACTCGCGCAAAGCGTATCAACGATTTACCATCCCGCGATTTCCTTTCGTCTGGATTACGAGATATGCGTTGCACGTTGCGCGCTATGCGTTACCTGCGTCGTCGTGTAATTGTCCCCGTTTCTGTACCGCGTAATTTGACGTTTTCGTCTCACGTAGTGGTACGAAACCGCCTTCCACCATATGGTCGGTTGTGCGGACTTCAACTGCAAGATCTTGGACAGCACACTATCCTGGCTCTCAGCGTGTAACAAGTCGATTCTGATCGGCGAGTGATAACACTCCACTAGGTAGACCAGGTACAGCATCCCCATGAACGCCACCTGGAATTGTTGATATATGTAATTTCAGGAGAATATAATGAAGATACTAAAAAGTGGAATTATGAAAAAATTTTTCAGAAATTCATTTTTCAGTTCTGTTCTGTTCTGTTATATTTTTTGTGAAGCGAGTTTGGTTCATTTATTTCGAAATGTATCGACACCAGGAAATTTTTAGAAAGTTACAGGAAGAAAGAATGTGAAAAATATACTACGACATGGAATTATAAAAAGTTTCGTGTAATCCAAAAAATACGTATTTCGGATATTTAATGGAAAGTTAGAATTTTTTAAATTCCAAAATTCATCTTTCGGCTGTAATTTTATTTCTTTTTCTTTTCGTGAAATGCGGTTCATTTATTTCTATACGTATCGAAATTACGAAATTTTGAGAATGTTGACTTTTATATCGGATAATATGGATGTGATTCGAATGAATTTTCCTATATAGATACTCACGGGAATGTAAATGTAGCCATCGTCGCAGGGAGACACGTGTCTCGTGCTTTTAATCGGGTACCTCGAGAAATTGATTACGACCTACGGAACAATTACCACTCAAGAGAATCCTTTTTCCCTGAACGAACACTCGAGGTGTAAGTTTTTGTAGCATTGTTTGGATAGGGATCTCCGTAATGCAGAGGAAGTGACGTACCTTGGTGACATTCGCGCATCTACACCACGTCACTGCGGCAAGGCATCCGTATATTAACACGGACAGCACCAGACACTTGCAATTTGGCTCCTTTTGCAACGCTCCGCACAGTGTTTGGGACACTGGTCGCTGCTACAACGATATTACGATTTGAATGTCTTTGGTTTCATTTCTTTCAATTAACATAGACGAAGAATTTTTTATCACTTTTACTATAATTTAATGTAAAGAAAAAGTAGAAAGTTTAAAAATTGGGAAAACATTATTCATCCAATAATAAAATTGGTATTATTGAGAAGCGAGGGAAAATCTGAAGGTTAAATTATGGAAAAAACAGAGTATATGATTTGTGGAAATATTTGTCCCCTTTCTTTCCGGCAATGATAAAGTGTAATATGTTGAAAATTAATATTGAAAAATGGGAGAAAATTGTAAGCTTAAATTATTGAAAAAGCAGTATATTGAGTGTGCAATTTTTGTTCCCTCTCTTTGAGGACAATGATGAAATATAATATTGAGAAATGCGAAAAAATTTAAAACTTGCATTATTAAAAGAGCAGAGAATTATTTCTTTTATTTCTTGTTTTCCTAAACGAACAATTTGAACATACTTCTTCATTTTCCCGATTCATCGTTGAAACAATCGATCCAGCAGATACTTCGAAATGTATTCTCGTGATCAGAGCCTTCCCATTTCACGAATACTCCACTTTCTGTCCCTTATTTCCCCGATGCTGGCCTTTGTGCTGCAAGAATTCAATTATTTGCTTTAGCGGAGATCAAACGACGAAGGGGACCCGAATATCCTAAGCATGCTGTTCGCCGAACCAAAAATGTGTCTTCCTAATTAAACACGTAACAATTAAAGAAAAAAAGAAGAAAGAAAAATTCTCCCCCATTAAAGACACTTTAAAAATAAATTCCAACGTAGAATCGTTACCAGTACTCCACAAAAAAATTGTAACGAAAAATTCTACGAGATTCTTCATACGAATAACAATAAAAAAAAAATAAAAAAAAAAACAGAAATATTCTCCCCTATTTAAAAATAAATTTCAAAGTAGAATCTTTACCAGTACTCCACGAAAAGTTGTAATAAAAAATTTCACGTGAATCTTCATACCCCTGCGTTAATTGCAACTCGAGGGACTACTCGTTACTCCATCAAAATCATATCGTAAAACAACATCCTAATTACGCTAAACCTGCGGTCCACGATTCAGCCTCGAGCACCATCCTTCCCGCCTTTTAACTCCTAAAAGCCTCTCGTATGTACACCTAATTATTCTCACGAGTCCATCTTCAGCTACTAATCAAAACAATCCACCGCAGCGATCGTTCAAATCGATTTCACTCACGTTCACCAATACGATTAACCAACGTAAAGGAAACAGAGTATAGAGAAAAAAAGACGAAAGAAAAATTCAAAAAAATAATCCTCCGTCCCGTTTCCTCTCTTTTTTTTTTTTCTGTACACGAACAAAAGAAAAGCACTTCTAAACCGTCTCGAAAAACGTCCCCGGGGATAACGATGTTTGCCTAGCTGTCGGCCGTGTTCAAAGGTTAGCCATCAGGCCGCTCGAGCACGAGGAATCGTTCATCCCAAGGCGAGGAATAAAATCGATCGTGGTTCGAGGGGTAGGAAAGAATGGGACTGCTAGTAGCTTCTACTTATCGTACATTTCTCTTCTCTCAATTCTTCTCCGAACACCTTTCTCAGCATTTTCACTTTTCATTTCACACGTCGTCTTGGGTCCTTCTACCTTCTTCTTGATTACTCTTGAATAGTCTTCATTTGAGAAATCGAACGATTAAAAAATTCCTTTCTTTTTTTTTCGAGACGAACGCAACGAAACGCGATGAAGGATGATGTATTTTCAACGGAAGTATTGGCGATGCGGGAATTTAGAGAAGTACGGTAATAAAAAGAGGAAGTTGAAATGGACGAAGCGGAAGTCGAGGACGCTCCGTGGGTCGCGCGAGCGTCAAGACGCGTCCTGACGCGCCCCTCTCGACCGGATCCACCCCGATGCTACCCCACGGGCTAACTGGCACCGTCGTCGATACACGGTACTCGCGGACGCGGCATCACCACTGACGTCCCCGCGTCGCCACGGCGTCGAACGGCGTCGGCGCCCTCCTGTGCCGGGGGTTCCCTACGCGGCTGCGCCCGCTTCCGCGTTCCTGCGTCCTCGAGTGCCGTGGCTCTTTGTCTTCGTGCCCATTCACCTCCCACAATTAGACTCCAGGACGACGATCGGGATAACGCTGGTCGAGCTCGTTTTCCTCGACGTGTTTTTTAGGCTTGAATATGTTTTTTCCTCTTTTTTTAGATTGATTTATTTTTTTTTTT